GGTCAGGCCATCGGCGAGTATTTTCGGCGCATTAATGATAGTCTTATTTAAAGGACGATCGAAGCCAAGTCTATTGAATGTTACCATTAATTAGGGCTCATTAGAGCTTCAGACCATGTGATTTTCTCGACCTAAACCCAATAGCCTAAACCCGTTTTCGCGTTCTTCAAAGATTGCCTGCGTCGAGCGGGCAAAAGCCGCTTCAGATCAACACTGCCATTTCCCGAATTTATTTGCCCGATTGCGTCAAAAAGCTCCGATAAAAACGATTTTTGGCTGCGCTTTGACCCCACTTTTGTTATGCCCTTGTTAATATGCGCATAACAAAGGGTTATATAAAACTTGCGGGATTTCGAGTATTTGCTAAAATTTCGCAAGAAGCTAGCTTATTTCATGCCATGGTAACCGTCAGAATTAAAGGGACCAGGAAGGTAAAGTTCAATTCGTATCAAACCGGATTTGACTTAGAAATTAGTCTACTCTCTCTCTCTCTCCGTCTCTTACTTGAGCCCGCTCTCTCCGCGAATTTTCCGATTTCAAGACCACAGAAGAACAAAAACGCCTTTAAAATCCGGATATGAAAATTTCCTTCAAAAGCCAGTTAGCCAAAATCCCGAAATGTAAAAGTGGCTTAAAATATGGGTGTGTCTAAATTGAATTGCTAAACGCTTGTGGAATTCATTTTGTCCAAATTTAACTTTGTCGGTATTTCATTTTGCCGAAATTTCACTTTATCGAAATTTCAAAACACTAAATTACACTTTGTGAAATGTTTGATATGAAGAATCAAGGAGAAAAGATATTCACAGTTCGATAAATTGGCGTCTCGCCCAAATGTTTTTTCTACAAAATGATCCTCATGATGATGAGGGAAATTTCGACAAAACGAAATTTCGGCGAAAATTATTTCGACAACATTCTTAACATGCTTTCTAGAATTTTTCCGATGCTTGGAGACCACAGAACGTGCAAAGACTGAAAATATATCATAGAAAGTTTATTGATATAAAACAGAGAATGGGGGTGACGCGCTGCTGTCATTTTCTCTGCCGGCTGAGCGTGTGAGCGTGAGCTGAAATGAGCATCACCATTCAACTAACCGGCCCTTTATTTTCGTTGACAATCATCCGGACTTCCCTGCTCGCTATTTTGCGGCCATACGGGTTTCCGCTTGCCGTTCGGCGAGTAACACCCCCGGTGATGCCGATTATAGTTTCGCATCCAGGCTACCGTAACCGCCACAATTTTGCAAATCCTTTTCGGACGTTCCGGGGCTCTTTATAAGCCGCTAGTTGTATGCGTTTGGTGCATTGGCTTACTCTTTCTTTTTTTGAAAATTCACTTTTGATTGGGACCATTCGCATTATTATTGGACCTGTCATATCCAAATTTTTTTCCGGCCAGAATGGGGTTCAATCAAAAAAAATTCTATTTTCAAAGCCTTTAGGACTATTTCGGATGTTCCGGGCTGTCGGCTATTCGCTTCGGTATTTTTCTTCTTTTTCTTCTCTTTCATCTAATTCGCTAATCCATTAATGCGCTTTATCCAAAATGTCGAAAGATCGACGCCACTTTTAAAAATAGATACAATTCAAATTTTGAAGAAACAAATTGGTTTTATGCTTTGATGCGTTTGCGAACGCGTTGCTGTCGAGTCCCAATTTTGCTGATTAACATGGTTTTAAAAGCCAACTCGCTGTTTATTCCATTCCATTAGGATTTCACTTTGAGTTTAATTTATGATTTTCTTATCTTTCGTTTTTCCATTAATGTCCAGATCAGAAAATTCACTATTATTCCAAGCTTTGAAAACCAAATTCATTTTCTCGAAATTCGAAAATTTTTGGACGATCGGCCACGGAAGAAAAAAAATGTTTCTTCCGGTGAGCATTGATGCAAGCTTGATGCATTGATGCAGCATTGATGCAAATAGAAAGCTCAATGATGGTTTAGCGGATAGCATAATTGTTCAGAAGTTAGGATCGATAGAGCTTAGGTGAAATGTCATTTTTCTCTGCCTTTACAAGCCCAGACTTGTGCCACACTATTTTTCGTAGCTCTTTTGCACCCAGCTGCTCTCATTCAAAAAAAAACAGATCAAAATTTCCCTCCCTGCCATTGTCAATATTTTTTGCCTAGGTCAAAATTCCCCCAAAACACAACGCGCTGACATCACTCGGCCTCCCTCCCGAATTGCTAACCAAAATCCGGCTCATTTCGGGGGTGCAATTGGCGGAAAAGGGGGAAGATCGAGAGATCCCTGGTTTTAAAAGGATACGAAAAGTGAACCTCAGAGATATTGTTTTTAGAAAGTGGGCGGAGCAGGTCTTTCGTTGTGTACTGTAAGGTATCCGGTGCTCAGCGAGTTCTCATGAGCAATTCATTGTAGCACCGCCAGTACACTTTTGATACCTTGGCAGTCCAGCATATTTGTAATTTTCGTCCCATTTCCACATGAAATCTTGGCTTTAGTGGTTCGTTAACTAGACCGTTACATCAGAATTCTTGAATTCTTGTGAGCCCTGCCTGCGACACGCCACGCGCACGCTTGCCCTGCAGGCCGTTTAGCGGCACTTTCGTTTCTAGTGTTGTCTGTCACGTTTCGTATCGCGACCGTAGTTAGGTCATAACCTATAAAAATATGCTTATTACGACTTTCCGGGGAAGGCTTCACTATGAGCTTCTCTGTCTGCAAATCCCAGGAAGAGGCCGCGACTCGCGACGCGCGGTGCCTGGCGAAAACCAAGGCGGTCGCGTCGCGTCTTGCGGGTGTAACCAATACGTTCGTAATTTTGCAGGTTGCTAGAACCATTGGCTTAGCTTCTCGGTTTTGAAAAGCAAAAAAGTGCTATGGATTATACTTATGGTAGTTTATTTTATAAGGTAGTGGAAAAACGGTCAAGTGCGTTGTGTATCGATATCAAGCTAAATTACATTATCGAGGACGTTCCGGGAGAATTCATAGCCCTGGCTTTCGCGGGCATTTAATGTCCGGCAATGCAGCAATATTTATGCTGCAGTCCCACCCCTGAAAACAGTTTTTCGCTCCCGACATGGTCCCTCTGACCCAAGCGCCATCTAGGTACAAAAAACGATCCCCCCGCTCCCTTTCCCTCAAAATCGTGGCAGTCCATCGAGATTCTGACTAGTGACATCTATCGCTTTTCGGAAAACGTGCATTGACGTAGACAACTTGCCAGGGGAAACACCAAAAATACCCCGGCCAGCCTCAGCGATAGAAAATCTCCATATTCTCCATATTGGGGACGGTGGTCGATGAATGGTCCCGGGCGGTCGGGCGTGGAAAATCCTGCCCAACACTCTGAAAGGGGTTATCCCCCCACGCACATACTGACAACATTGTGAATCATCGCAAAAAGTTGGAGCATGTATATAAGCGAGGAGCTGGAGGGGAATGATCACTGCTTTTGATGGAATCTGGGTCGGGGAATTTGACTTGAATGAACTCGAACTCGCGCGTGGCGTTCTGCGATCTCTGATAGCTTGGGCTAGGGGGTAGAAACTTCCTCAGCCTTCACTACCAGTTCATTTTCCTGAAGGGTCTCTGCTAGCTTGCCCTATAGACCTAAATTGATTTACATCCAGCCCTTTGCTAGTTTGCCTCAGCTCCCCGCAAATTTCCTCGAAGAACTCTGCTAACGTATCATCCTTCAACTTTCCGCAATGGATATTTGCTAGCTTCCTCCAGACACGAATATCTTCTTTTCTATCATTCTGATCAGCCTCTTTGGAAACCGTTTATTTAACTAGAACTTTTTGCTTATAAACACCGTTTTACGACCAAGCCTGTTTACAAGGGAGGCCTAGCATGACATGACAACACTCTAGACATGCCTATACAAGTTTTATGTGCGAAGATAATACGGCTCTGTCTCAACATACTTATACTTATACTTATGTTTGTAAGCGTGCTGTCGAAATTGTCTAAACCGTTAAATAAAGATTTTTAGTCGGGTACGATGGTCGGCAGCGCTAATAAGGGCGGCATTTTTCAGTCCAAGACGCGATATGTCATTCTATTTTTGGGTAAGTTATGCAGCTTAGGCGTAGAGATGGGCATAGGTATCAGCTTAGGGTTAGCCTTAGGCTTCCTCTAACCTTCACTTAAACGTTCCTTTAGGCTCCGCCTGCATCGCCTCGATCGCCTCCAACTATACGATCCTCGGTTTCACCTATATTTGCATGAGCAATGTGACGGTGGTAAGTTAAAAAAAAGAGAGAGAAAAGAGAGCGAGAGAGAGAGAGAGAGAGAGAGAGGCATACCGAGACGGAGGGTGAGCAGAAGGTTACTGTATCAATTCTAGGACGAAAATAACGCAACGGCTATGGCCACTCGTGGGCAGTACGACTACACCCAGAAAGAAAAATCGTTCCTCCATTGGTCGTTGGCTGTCGGAACATTGTTGGCTGCCTGGCCTTTTCAATGGTAATTTTTGGGAGGCATCGATTAAGGTGCCGAGTTATACAAAAAAGCATTGTAGTTGCATCCTAAAGAAACGTCCAGTAAGTTGAAAAAAATCGTGGTGTAATTTTTATCGAAATGGCGTATGTTGTGTCGTACCGTTGTCTAGTATCAACCAAAAATCTACATTGTGTTTTGCATCATATATTGGACACTTTAAAGGACCTTTGAAGCCAAATCCATGGCTCTTATTTTTCAGGTTCTATCAAAAATACGGTGCCCGAGATGTCTTCTTCATAGCTGGAGTCATCTCCGCACTGTCGACGTCGCTAATGCCGTTAATGGCATCGATAGACTTCAAGTATTTCTTGGCAATGCGGTTTTTGCAGGTTGGATTTTTAGGGCATGTAAGATAAGATAGTTTATAGTCATAGGTTTTAAAATATAAAATGCTCTTCAGGGAGTTTCCTTCGGTGCTGATTTCGCAGCTATCGGCCTCATCGTCGTCCACTGGGCTTCCTTGAAACAGCACGGCTTCTTCATCTCCCTCCTGTCGTCGTTCTCCCAGATTTCAGTGATGTTCACGATGCCTGTATCTGGATTGGTACGTTACAATACTGGTTACGCCTAGAAGCCATGATCCAGAGTTCTTAAACATTGTTTTAAAGAGACTGTGACAGGAAAATAGAACCGTCCCGAGCTTCCGACTAGCTTAAAAATTCTCTCTTTCAGCTCTGCAACTCATCCTGGGGATGGCAAAGCGCGTACTACGTCCACGGAGCGTTGTGCATGTTCCTGTTCTCACTTTGGTGGTGGTACTACCGTAACGACCCTGTTGACCACCCGAAAATGACGGAAGTCGAGCTCGAGAAGATTCAGCGCGGCAAGAAGGAGGAGGAGCTCGGTCAACATGAGGCTGTACCGGTTGGGGTAAGTGACTCTCTCCCGCTCTGTCTCTATCTCTCTCTTTCTCTCTCTTTCCGCCTCCCCCTAGCAAAGACCATTGATTTAGGCAATCCTTCGGGACCCCGTCGTTTGGAGCGTCTGGTTGTCGGCCTTCGGTGAGCTGATGATGTCCCAATTCATTGTCCTCTACGGCCCCACTTTCATCAAGGAGGTATGGGTTTGCCTTCTCAATACCTTTAACGTCCTAGTTTTTGATGTTGCTTATTAACGCACATTTTTTAGGTCCTCAACTTCTCCGTCGGAAAATCTGCCATGATGGTCGCTATGCCTCGCTTCGTCCATCTTTGTTTCAAGATCATTTCCGGACATTTGAGTGACAAGATTAAGTAAGGGTTTGAGCTCTCTCTCTCTCTCTCTCTCTCTCTCTCTCGCTCGGTCTCTCTCTTTCTTTCTCTCCTTCGCTGACTTTGGACATGGTGTGTCCGAAAATGACCACAACTTCTCAGGTTCCTGTCCGAGAAGACCAAGATGATCATCTTTAACACGATCTCCCTGATGGTGTCCGGCTTCTTCTTCTGCGTACTTGGCTTCATTCCCAAGGTATGGATTTCAGACTTTAATGGGCCATGGAAGGACTAAAAACCAGCTCCAGCTACAAAATCTTAATGCCCAAATTTTTAGGAACAAGCGTTCTACAGTATCGTCATCCTCTTTATCATCGAGGCGACGACCGGATGTATTTGCGGCGGTTTCTACAAGTGTGCTACCCTCGTCGCAAGGTAAGATTTAGCTTAAGCCAGGCTTAGGTTTAGGCTTAGGCTTAGGTTGGAGCTAGGCTTAAGCTTAGGCTGAAGACTAGGTGTTTTTTGATACCTCAGAATAAACTCCACTCCATTCCAGACAACACTCCCACTTCGTCCTCTCTGCCATCCAGTTCATCAAGTGCTCTCCCTCTTCATCGAGCCCACCCTGATTTTTTATCTTTCGCCGCAACAACACACTTGCCGAGTGGCGAATCGTGTTCCTCATTCATGGCGGTCTCCTGATTGGCGGCAACATCATCTTCTGCTTCTTTGCCACCGACAAGCCGGCAAAGTTCAATCCTACACGCAGGCCGACGAGACCGACGAGCTGAAGCAGGGAGCCGGAGAAGCAGAGGTGCTACTAGAGAGCTAAATTATAAAATACATCCGATATCAAAATCACTAACCCCTAAAATTATATATAAATACGTAGCCATCTGAATTTCCTAAGAATCTAAAAAATTTTACGCTGCTTTCCAGTATACCCTTCCGGTTCTTTATCGTGCAATAAACGGCACCAGAATATCTAGCTTTTGCCTGGAAAAATGCCAAATCTGAATCTATTTCGATGGCATTTTACACTCACGGCTCTAATAATCGTTTGTTTTATACACAGTTATAGCACAAATTTCCTAACTACGGGTCTCATATTCTATTCCCAACAAGTATTGGTTACTCCCCCTATCTGGTTGTGTGTATTCCCTCTGGTCGCTTTGTTCTGCATCGAATAAACGAGAATACATGACAATCATACAGAGAGCATTAGAAAATCGGAGAATCTCACAGTTGATGAACTTGTAATGGTTCTTTTGCGGTTGCGAAGCTCTAGCGAAAAATGCATAAGCTCTCGGAAGCTATTCAAATGCTTTTGATAAATTTTTATAAATTCACTAAGATTTTCCCTACCAAATTTTGTTAGAGCCAGTTGGGTTAGATCGAATTTTTGAAGCTCCCAACCTTAATCCAAGGGAAATCTAGTTTATTGTCCGACACCACAGCAGTGGGACTATTCTGAGTTACCACCAGTGTTTTTAGGCATTTTAATGACGCGATTTGAAGGTTACGCTGCTTGCCCTGTCCTAAACCAATTTCTTTCTTTCGCAGGGTGAATTCATTTAGTCGGACTTGTAAAACCTTTTCAAAGTCAGCTTCCTAACTATTTGTTTTTCCCGTACACCGTCGGTGTGGAGAATTTCTACAATGAAGTCTTGCAATTACGTCAACAATTGCAGTCCTTCAAATATCCAGTGTCCT